GAGTGTGAGTGTGTATTGTGGTGGATGACGCGTTCACACACCTACTTCTGTGCTGATGATAGCACAAACGGCACAATCTCACATGCTTGCGCTAACCACTCCCCACCACCTTATCCTACCATCTCACCCCCTCTCGCCCCTGCACACATCACAGGTGCTTGAAGTCGAACACGAAGGAGGATCTGCTGAAGCTGCTCGACTGGTCGTTCAACCGCCAGGCCCTCTGATACCACCCATCACACACACACACACACACACACACACACACACACACACACACACACACACACACATTGACAATGGCGCACGTTGACACAACTGTCGCCTTCCTTGAGGCGCATACCCACGCGCACCAACAGGCTGCGTGTCCTGTTCTTTCTTCCTTCTTGTACATATATGCTCGCAAGTAAACGCCCGTTCCATTCACGCAGAGGCACCAGAGATAGAGCGACAGGGAGACACAGAGACAGGGAGGTTGAGAGAGGGAGAGAGACAGAGGCAGAGAGTCACAGACGGAGACACAGAGAGACACAAACAAACCAAACAACAACAACAACATTAACACACACACAAACGCAGCACAACAAACACAGCAGCCATGGGGAAGAAAGGAGGTGGAAAGAAGGGAGGCAAGGCGAGCGGCGATGGCAGCGGTGGAGGAGGAGGGGATGCCAAGAGCAAAGGCAAAGGCAGTGGCGGCAAGAAGGGCGCAGGCACCAACGTGGAGGTGAGCACACGTGTACGCATGTGGGCGCATGTGCGTCTGTGTGAGATGGGCAAGTGCGAGGTGATGTGACCTTGTGCGTTGATGTGAGCTGATGTCACCCACGTATGCGTCTCCAACGCCTTCGCCCCACCAACGATGCCCGTGCCTCCACGCCCCCCGCCCCGACACAGGTGCGGCACATCCTGTGCGAGAAGCACTCTAAGGCCATGCAAGCACTGGAACAGCTGCGGCAGGCCTACAAGCCCGCCGACGGCGGGAAGCCACAAACAGGCTACTCCACTTGGATCAAGGTGTGCGTGTGCGTGAATATGTGTATGTGTGAGTGCGTGCGTGTATGTGTGAGTGAGTGAGTGAGTGTGCGTGTGTGTGTGTGTGTGTGCGTGAGTGAGAGTGTGTGTGTATGTGTGAGTGTGTGTGTGCGTGAGTGAGTGTGCACTACCATTTCCACTACCTCCCACCCCTCTGTTATCCCTCACTCCACGTTCGCCTTCCCCTCCCTTCTGTTCCCCTCCATCGCACGGCTCTGTGTCAGGTTGCATCGGAGTTCAGCGAGGACAAGGCCAAGTCAGGGGTAAGTAAGCACTGATGCATGCTGGCAACCTTCGAAGCTGTTCTTGAAGCCTATCCTCGCACGCCAACGACACACCAACGTCACTCACACGCTCACATGTCTGTATCGTCACCACCTCATGTACACAGGGCAACCTTGGATGGATGGCGAGAGGGTCTATGGTTGGACCTTTCCAGGACGCCGCATTTGCACTTGAGGTACACCGCACACGGTCTTTGCCATTGCGCCCTGCCCAGCCTCTGTGCACCACACACACACACACACACACACACACACACACACACACACACACACACACACACACACACACACACACACACACACACACACACACACACACACACACACACACCACGTGTGACAGGTCTCCAAGCCAAACGGCCCTGTCATCTTCACAGATCCCCCCGTGAAGACCAAGTTTGGCTATCACATCATCATGGTCACCAACAAGAAGTGATGAGGACGATGCAGCTGCACCTGCTGTGCATGCACGACTCCCCCTGGCACACGCACGGGCGGCGGCTTGCACACAGAGATGCGCGCACACACACGCGCGCGCGCACACACACACACACACAGACAGATACAGACACACTCACTCACTCTGACACTCACACACGCACACACACACACACACACAGGCACACACACACACAGAGACATGCACAGAGAGACTCGGCCTCAGTGACACACAGCGACACACACAAACACAATGACGGTCGGTGCTTTTATGTCTCGTGTGTGGGTGGGCCCCTCTTTGCGCGCTCAACCCAATCTGGTAAAAAGAAAAGAACAGAGAGAGTGCCGGGTTCGGGGACAGCGTCATTCTATATCAGCCGACCGCGTGGTGGGGGGGGGGGCTGAGGAGGAGGCAGAACAAGAGAATGACAGGTGGGGTTGAGTGGCGGCGTG